ATAAAATGAGCAATCTTTCATTCTTGCATCTGGTAATCTGAACAATGTAGTTGAGGATAATGATATGAAATGTAACAACCACTGTTGATTCGTATTGTTTTGTCTTGAGACTCTGTATCACTTTGAATGTTCTTACTTTGATTTGTTTATGTTTGTGATGCTGGTATGCTGCTACTGTTCTATTTCTTTGTTTGCTTGTTTCTCATTTACTACTCCTTTAAAATAAAAATAGAATTCTAAATAAAAAAGGAAATTCTTCAATAAAGTAAGTCGACAAAGTATTGAAAATTACAGAAAAAATGGAAAGGGGAAAAGGGGGAAGAAAACATTCCTTCTGTATATATTAGCATGTTTGCATACATCTACACAATGGTTTAAGTGTGTAAGGATTTTTACAAATGAGAAAGAATATTCTCAGAGTGTCAGAAATAATGTCTAAGTCCAGAATGTTTCTTACGTCTTTATGTTCCCTATTTCAACTGACCCGAAAGGGCCTTTTTCTGCTGCAGAAACTTTCTTCTCCCGCAGCCTCTCAAAATCCAAAGATGCTCGCTAAAATAGTGCTCAGCAGCACTGTTAGTAGTGCCCTCTAATTCATCACTAGGATTGCACACCCTTTAAATGGATTTGCTCTGTGAATATTCACATTTGGTCGGAACATCAAACCACATGCCAAGACCACTAGCGAAGGGCAAGCTGGGAGGGAAGAGTGGGAGAGTCATCTAAAAATATGCAGTGCAGGAAGCTGTACTCCACTTCGCACAGGAAGAGCCCAGACTACAGCACTATGTCACTTAGCAAGCAGTGTACTCCCTGTGAAACAACGTCCTCACACGTCACGTGACCTCAGCTTCTTTCTGAAGGACATGTCAAACTGAGTTTCTAGCAGCTTGACTTCTTGGTAATGTCACTGGTTCTAAAGAAATCTGCCTGCAATAATGAAATGCTGCCTAATATTCAAAGAGTCACAGTTTCCAGCACGCCATTACTGCACCCTAACTAGAGTTCCCAAGGCCGGGTGAGATGAATGCATTCTGGTCATGTAACTCTTTGCTTTGGAGGAAAGGAACTGATTAGGAAATGGGCAGGCACTTGTACGAGTAATAAGTGTGTGTGACAGGTTGTTTTGGTGTGCAAGTCTATTACATAAACTTTTATTTTAAAGAGAAAAAAACAAATATCCAATAGTACAACATTTCAAAACAAGACAATAGGGTATTAACAATGGGTAATATGCAATTAATATATTGCGTATTGTTATCTTCAAAGTAGTTGCTCAGATTAGAAGATATAGGCATGCATAACTGACCAAATAATATAAGCACAAATAGTTTTTTAATGGACTGAAGGAAGTCAGTAGTATAACTATCTTATCTGTTTTATATATATACATATTTTTTTCTTTTTCCTTCCTTCTTTTATTCATCCCAGTTATTCTTTCTCTTTGAGCTATTTCTATGCCCTTTATACTATCTACTGTAGATTTTGGGTCTTATTTACTTTTTAAGTTTCTTACACTAGGGAGAAAATATGATGTTTGGGACCAGGGATGTAGCTAGTGGCATAAGTGCTTGACTGGCAAGACTGAGGTCATGAGTTCGATTCCCAGTACAAAAAAAAAGAAAGAAAATACGATGTTTATACATGCAAGATTGATTTATTTCACTTATGACTATGGTCTCTTCTTGTGCCCATTTACCTATAAAAGCCTCGAGTTTGTCCTTCTTTGTAGCTGAGTAGTACTCCATTATATAAAAATACCACATTTTTTTATCCATTCTGCGGTTGATGGGCACTTAGGTTGTTTCCAAGATTTCAGTGTGGAGATTCCTCAAAATACTAGGATTAGAGGCCCCATTTGACCCAGATATCCCCCTTCTGGGTATTTTCCCAGAAGAATTAAAAATATCATGCCACAGTGATATTGGTGCACCCATGTTTATAGCAGCACAATTTGTAATAGCTATTACATAAATATTAACTGTTCTGTGAGAGTAGTTTCTGTCTTAAGTAATGTAAAACATATGGAAATATACACAAAGCCTTCATCTACAGTGGAGCAGACCCTATTTTGTCTCAGAATTTTAAAAAAGGTAATATGGACTTTTGATGAAGGAACTACACTCAGCACAAACCTACTTGGAAACGAATGTACTTTATATACTTTAATTCCCTCCATGTCATAGGAAGGGTCTATTTACTCTGAGAATTTGAAGAAAAGAGAACAAGGCAATAGCTTAGGTACAATGAATAGAGACAGTTCATAACTGAATAAAACAGACTGTCTCTTAAACCCAAGTAATAATTGCTTTGCTGAGAATGGTGCTTTCACTTCATCAGTAAACATTAAAATATCATTGAGCTGATTTGAGGATGAAATAAGATAGCATATGAGAAGTGAGAATATTTGACACATAGAGATTTTTATGGTTATTGTACGAATAGGATCACTGCTAATCACAATATCAATATGGTGGCAAAGTAATAATATTGAGAAGCTAAGTGATGCACACGCACAGAGATGTTCATGGTATGGAAAATAATGTCTCAAAACCAAGTGTCTCTTTCTGAGTCGGTATACCTGAAACTTCTTAGCATTCTGATTCCTCAGATTGGCAAGAAAGAATTGAATCTTCTACTTACTAAAATGTGTCGCCTCACTTAAGCAGTCTCTTTGGTAATCTGGCCTACATACCTTCAGCTGAACTTATTGTTTGAGTCTCTGTGACCATTCCTGTATTAATTAAAACCCTGTATCTTATGAAGGGGTACTGAAAGCTTGGTCATTCTTTAGGTGTTCTTTTTGGCTCCCCACCTGGCCTTTCCTTGAAAATACTCTGTTCATCTTTATTCAAAATTCCAAACTTTCATGGTTTCTCAGTAAAATCCATAGCTCATACCTCATTTTTTAGATTGTCTTTTGAGAAATCCTAGCAGAAAGCTTGAATGCTAAGTAGCAAATATAAAAGGAGGACTGAAATTAGGAAGTCATAAATGTGTAACATCAGTGAGTGATAACTGCAGGAGAGAATTGTAATGAGAGATAAGATATTTGAGTAAGTTTAAGGAAATCTCTCCAAGGCAGACAGTTGTTAGTTGGAAAAATGAAAATGTAGTTAGTGGGAAAACTGAAATATATCTGTAGCTGGAGCAAGTGATCCAGTTTAATATTAGAATGTGAGACAGATGGTGATCTTTTGCTTCCAGATGTGATATCCTCTGAGAAAGACCTAAAGCCACCTATGTAGACTTCTGGCTACTAATTCACTCTCTGGATTCAGTAAACAGGAAGTATCAGGCAAACTCAAAATGAAGAACAATTGTATTTTAATATGGCTTATTGGGGCTGGATTCTCCAAAATTATAAATTTCATAAAGATATAAACTGAAAAGTTCATGGAAATATTTCAGGTTAAAGAAGGTTTAAAAGTCTACTTTGCAAGGATACTGACCAGCATTTCTGGGATTATTGCCAACCCCCACAAAATCTAATTCCACACTTAATTCTCCCAGAGCATCACTACCAGTTGTGTAACTTCGTGTCAGTACAAGGGCTTTGAGAATCTCGCACAGTATGACTTACCTTCTTATATTATACTGAAAACCAAATTGACATTCTCCACATCCCAGAAACTCTAAACTCCCTTTGTGTGTCCTTAGAGTACACTGCACAAAACTTGGACGATTGAAAGTACAGGTATTACCTTTCAATATATTTCTGTGTGTAGACTTAATTCTGAAGCTCACACAGAGTGAGTTAATTAACTCTAATTAATAGCCAAATTAATTAATATCTCTGATCCTGTTTCCTTTCTATCAGTAGAAAATAATGCAGTCTTCCTCAGAGAGCGGTTGTAAGAACTAAATGGGATCGTGCCACGCGAAGTGTCTGGCTCAGTACGCTGTATGTGGGGACCACAAGCAATGACCACTGATGCTATTAGAGGAGGATGAACATAATTTCTACTTTCGCAGCTGACATCAGAATGTCTCTTTAGGATGGAATTCTCCTTGTTTAAATTACTTTTGGGTGTAAGGTCCTAGGATTATAATTTGGAATGAACAGGAGAAAGAATGAGACAGTAAATCAGCAGAAGTAAGAGTACAAAACAATAACAAAAGAGAAAGTCAAAGAGAAGGAGTAAGGAAGAGAAGAATGTTCGTCTGTGTAGTAGGGGAACAAAGAGCTTTGTGGACGTAGGGGCCTAGTGTTAGAGGTAGGGCGGGTGTCCAGTGTCAGATTTGACTTGTGCACCTTGTCACAAATTAGTTCCCTATGTTTTCCCTCCTCTTAAGTCTACAATTTGGAAGAATTCTTTTGTTGTTTTGTTTGAGGGTGGATTTTTTCTTTCTTAATGCAAGTCAAGGTGAATGGGCTGAATTTACAGCGAGGTGAGTGGTAAGCAAACAGACAATGAGGGGAAGATTCAAGCAAGACTGAGAAATATGTATGGAAATGACACAGGAGTTAGAAAATGCCACGAGAAGCACAGAAGCTCTTGGGAGGCATAGAATCTTGATGATAATGGGGCCTAGTGTGTTGACCAGACAATGAATTCTGTCCTTTCTATGGTAGAGTTAAGAGAGCAGAATTGCTTCTAAGAATTCATTGTCGAAAATGTTTTAAATCAGATAGAAAAGCCACTAAAATTGAGAAAACAACACACATCAATAGTCCTATATCTATAATTCCACACTATAATAAGTTTTGAAAAGAGACTTCTTTTGTTCTTCTGCTGGAACAACAGGACTTTATTACCACCGGGCTGCTTACTGTCTCTGCTCATTCCCACGGGGAGTATATGCATTCACTGCTTTGCTGCAGTGGTGTTAATGTGCTGGATTCAGCATGTTACCAGCGTTTTCTGGGTCAACATAGGTCCAGTCAACACATTCTGAGTGAACTCAAAAAATTCTGAATTCTCAAACACCCCTTGGCCTAGGGTTTTGGACATGAATTCAGGAGGAAAAATAAAAGGGAGTGAAAATAAAGGCATTACCTTCCAATGTATTTCTAAAGCTGAAATTGGCAGTTTTATCCATGGGGCCAGATTCATACTGCGTCAAACTCAGGCAAAATTCCACATCAGCTGAGGAGGGGAGCCTCGAGGTCCTGGCTTTGTCATGGCTTCCAGGATTACGAAGTAAAGGTCCCTCAGGGTTCCCATCACATAAAGCCTGACGGCTGTTATATTCCTCCAGTCGGCTGCATACAATCTGCAAAAAACATTTAATGTTAAAGGAATAATTACCACTACCTGTGAGTCAATGGGAAAAAGCAGGAAGGTTGTAGTTCGTCATTACGATCTTCAGATTTCTAATCATCAGGAGGTTAGTGTTTTAAAATAAATGATTAAAGAAGTAAATGAGCTGAAACTTGCAGAATAAGCTATAAAATTTAATACCTACAAAAGCGTTCTAGGTTTTCATCTACCACTTTAGAAAATGTCTTAAATTTTCTAAGCTTCACATATCAAATTGTGAATCAAATAACTCCCATAGAAATATTTGATGGGGAAATTAATTTAAGTGTTTGTTAGCCACCTATTATATGCTTACCACTGTGGCTGGTTCCAAGGCTGGAGCTGACAATAATAAAGGCAGTGACTTCTTTTCAGGTAAATCTATAGCACATGGCATGATCAATAGTAAACACTCAGTAACTAGTGGCCTTATTGACTTAACTCGCACCATGCTCAGAATGCCAAGGGCTTAGAATAGTTTCACTTTGTGCTTTCCCGTCATAAAATGTCCTGTTGCTGATAGCAATGTTTTTATGTTCAGAATAATATTCCTGATAAATTTGTTTTTAAAGCATAACATTTTTCTGAGTCCTTAATTTAGCTACAACTAATGTGACCTTTTTGAAAAATCATCCATTTAAAAATAATTCCTCACATTGTCATATGAAAAGAGTTTTTTAACACCGTGATATACGCATCGCTTCAATTAAATGCAGTCATTGCTTCCACCTTACTAAACAGGTAAACTGAGGCTCAAAGAAGGAAGCGACATTTTCTAGGTTAAAGGACAGTGCTGCTACCACAGCCCAAGCTTTTCAGCTCTCCCTTTAGTGCACTTTTGGCATCTATGACTAGGTCAGAGGAGTCCAGCCTTCGATGTTTTTAAGCTCATCTAGGTTAAGGCGAAGAACAGAGCTGTAAACCTACATCTGGTTCATGGTGGGCTGCAGATCTGAGATGTCTTCGATTTACATAAAATGTGGTTAAGTCTGGTGAAAACATCAAGGGAAGACGAAAGTAACTTTATATACTGCTCTTTAAAAATAAACTGCTCTATTCAGGTAGAGAATGCTTTTAGCATTTTTTTTTTTTTTTTTTTTTTTTTTTTTTGGTCTTTTTGAGACAGGGTCTTGCTATGCAGGTCAGGCTGGCCTTGAGCTCACTTTTTAGCCCAGGCTGGTCTCGACCTTGCAATGATCCTCCTGCATCAGCCTCCTGAGTGCTGGGATTACAGGCGTGCACCATCACGCTGGGTGAGAATGCTTTTAAGGGGAAGGTTTAGCTGAAAACTTGTATTAACTGATATTCAGTCAAAACTGAATCACACATACTGGAATAAGTGTTTTAATTGTGTGACAGAAGAGGACTGTCTTCTCTCTACACACAACAGAACTTCCCTAGTTAGTATGGATGGGTTTCCTCACCTAATAAGCATCAGTGTAACTCCATGAGAAGCAAGTCATATTGACAGATGCGATTTTGTTTGTCTTGTCGATACTCCTAGCTAAAGAGAGCCAAATTTGGAGCACACAGAGCCCTAGTAACCTGCATGTGAACTTGATAGTCAACAACAGCAAGGGATAAAACTTGCTGATTTAAATATAAGAAGCATTTATAAGACTGTTCATACTTTTTGATGAGGAAGGAGGAGAAACAAAGAAAAACTAAAGGACGGCTGTTGTAGTCATGCAGGACAGAGTCATTACCGACAATAAGTTCCCGAAGTCACAGGAAAGAAAACATAGTTCATTTTGTGAATTTCAACTGTGACAGCCAAAAATAAAATCAGGTAGATTCTGGGCACAAAGTAAAGTAGTAAACTCCAACCAGAATACAAGTCAGATCCTAATGTGGTGCCCCAGGTTCTACCCTCATGTGACCATATGCACTTCTCTAAAGATTATATCTCAAAATGTAGTCACATTGGAAGTTTGAGCTTCATTGTGTGAACTTGAAGGGGTGAAACTTTATGCATTGCGCTGGGCTAGAAGCCCCTATATTAGTTAACCACCTGCCTATCCCTCTGCGGTACTGGCAGCCCTGCAGAAAGGGCCACTCCCTCACCCTGCACCAACATGTGGGAGTGAAGTGAATCCCTTATCAGGAATGGAAGTGAAGTGAATCCCTTATCAGGAATGGACAACGAGAAAGGACTATCTTCTTCTACCTTCCAGTTTCCCTGGACAGTGGGTGGAGAGGGGCAGGTTATTGTGGGGCTTGAGCCAGAGGATAGAGAGTGGAAACCAGGACTCAGTCTACGAGAACAAAGAGGGTGCAGGAGTAGTCACATGGGAGCTAAGAGCCTCAGCCCTTAGTGTATCCTCCATGTTTCTCTGATGGCTTCCTTTTTCCAGTACTGAGGATGGAACCAAGGGCCTTAGCACTAAGTCACATCCTCAGTATTTCATACTTTTTATTTTGAGATATGATCTTGCTAAGTTGCCCAGGCAAGGCTCCAAATATGAACCCCTTCCCTCAGCAGTGCTAGGTTGCTATCATTTTTAAACACAAATTCACAGATATAATTATTAAGAATTTCAAGGCACAAATCACAGGTGCTTTAATCTCCAGTGCGGGCCGCTTCTCAGCTGAGAGAGTTGTCCAAGTGCTGTAGCTGTCCAAGCTGGTCCTGGTCCTGAACATGGACTGCACCTTCTTTTCTGTGTCTACTTTCTATCCTTCACTGTGGTGCGCAATTTCATGGCTGATATGCCAGGTATATTAACGAGGACTCCCCAATGCCTCCTCCAGTGCCAGACTCTTCCTTTGTACTCATACTCAGATAGACATAGACACGGATTGTAGAATATATATGCCAAAGTCTGACTTCACATTTCAACACTGTCTCACGTGCACCCAAATACAACATTTAAAATGAAAACTCTTCTCCCTGTATCTCCTTTCACACAAACCGTCCTGAGTTTAGCCAGAAATCTATGAATCATCTTGTGCAAGAGAGAAATCATTGCATTTTATTTTATATTGTCTTCTACTCTGTCTTTCCCTTCAGATCCATCAGCCAATGTTAGCCGTCCTTCCTTCCACACCCATCAGGGGTCTGGTCCCCAGTCCCTACTTGCTTATGCCCTGTGGGATTCTGCAGCTGAAGTCCAGCTGCCGGCTGCTCCCCGGCACATCTGTGCCTCTCCACCCCGTGACTCTGCGGTCGCTAAGCCTGCTCGCTCCTCGCACATGTCAGTGCGCTACTTACTTTTTAAAGCCAAGACAAATATTTTGTGAAAACAGACATTGTCTCTGAATATGAGAGAGCTGTGGGAATCCACCAGATAATTTTGCTTATATAGCTTGACCATTTCTAGTCTGAAAATACAAAATATGAAATGCTCCAACATTCAAACTTTCAAGTGCTAGCGTGATGCCACAAATGGAAAACTCCACACCTAACCTTATGTGCAGACTGCCATCAAAACACAAGTGCACTGAAAGTTTTGTACAGTTATATTGCAATACTGACAGTAACTTTATTTACCTTCAGGCTATAATTATAAGATATATATGAAACATACTGAATTTTGTGTTTGGACTTGCATCTCATCCTCAAACTATTCCTTTACATATATTTCAAAATCCAAAAATTCCAAAGTCTGAACCACTGTTGGTGTGAAGCATCTCAGATAAGGGATTTTCAATCTGCACTTTCATTTATAGGTAGACAGAATCTAGAACAGCACTGTGTAGAGGCTCAAAAAGTATTTGTTGACTGAATCAATAAAATCAGTAAAGGAGCAAATGACTATCCAAAAACAAGCATGTATTGAACATCAATTTTTGCAGCTCCATTGTTGTTACCAATATTTATTTTCTTAAACAAATATTAAATCCCTTCTTGTCCAGGCTGTAACGTACATCTGTATCTATATCTATAAAACTGAAATTCGGGACATTGTGGATTCTATTGAGTCACCCCTATTTTAATGATGAAAACACAGCCTGAGTTTGGAAGGGTATGTTGGTCAAGTAGCATATATAATTCTAAGTTGTTAATAATTAAGTGTAGACACCAGGTTCACAGGTGTGTAAGGCACATGGAATAATATTTAAAAGTGAAAGTCCTTTCTTGTCAACTATCTGCATCATATTGAAAAGTAACTGAGGCTGTCCTATTCGTCTCCTGCCCCAGTGAGTTCAAAATCCATAAGCAGCAAAAGCAAATTAAATTATCATTTAAAAGAATTGAATGAGGGATGTCTTTTCCCATGTTAGAAAATAGCGAATATGTTGATTTTAACTTGATGGCTGAAATACAATTTATGAATTGAAGCACTGTATAGTAGAAAACAATAGGGCTCCAGATTCAGTGGGAGGCTGATACCAGCTCTGGCTCATCTGATATCAATGTAGCAATGAGCATGGTTTTTAGATGTGTTAAGTCTCAATTTTCTCACTGGTACAGTGATACAATATGTAGAAAGAAACTCTTCAACTAGTAGTTCTTGGCTCAGTGGATATCAGTTTCTGGATTTTCTCATACATTACAATAATCCTTAATCTTTTCATTCATATATCATTAAGTGACTTGTCCTAACAACATGTGATATTTAGAGTCAGAACCAGAGCACTAAAACATACTCTTCTAGATTCCAAAAATAAAGGCACTACATATATCTCTGCCTGTTAATGTTAGGAATGATTGAATAAAGCTAACCTGACTTCTTGCCACATTTGGCATATTGGGTATCTGTATAATGTTCATTAAACAGTTACCACAGAAGGTACACAGCCAAATCATTTTCATTCTTATTTGAATAATAAACCCCAGGATATTTTCAAAAGATTCTTCTGCCTAGAAGACAACTGTAGTGGGCTTGGTTCAGTTAGGGAGATTGAATGGAACCATTGTTGTTGAAATAGCTGGAGTTATTAGTAACAAGAAAGAAATCTACCTGGTTCCAGAAATAATTTGGAAAACTTTCCTCTAAATTATTGTCTTCATGATTTATACAGAACCTATAG